GAAACTAGGGGTGCCCTGAAATAATTGGCTTCCTGGTGGTCTCCTATTCACCAAATCCGCTTTGATGGGTTCCGTGGGAGAACCGAACTTACACATCTTAGACAAAGGTCGGACAGTCGCACAAAGGAACCCACCTAGCTACAGGAAACTTAATCCGGATTCGCGCGAATTTGGTCCTCACTGCTTTTGAGATGGTGTTGGGAAATCATTGCTATAGCCCATTTTTGCGAAGCAGACACAAGACAGGGTGAGGCAATATCCCCTGCAAGCCAAATGACATCAACCTAGCATTTGCTGCTTCAAGCAAACAGCACGTGTAAAGCGCTCAATTTGCCTACAAAGTCGTAGGCGCGCCTGTCTGGCTGATGTACCACCTGTGAGATTGCCAAAACCTTCTGTGTGTTCCAGGAACTCCTGGGCAGCGTTGACTTTTGGGAGGGTAGTTGTAGTAGGCCGCGTTAGCAGCTCGACCAACAGGTAGTCCACAAGTGACCGCAATGGCCGGCGCCGAGGCTCGCCCAAGGGGCGGTTTGTTTTGGGAAGGTACAAGGCTGTTACGAGGAGTGTTTCACATCTGAGGCGTCCAGCCCCAAAGCAAGATAAACGTCTACCTAAGGCAAAAGCAGAAAGAAAAACATACAGGTTCATCTTGGCAATGTGGGACGCTCTTTACATAACCGAATTGAACCAAAAGTCCCAGCCATTCACGCCATCTCCCGTCCAGAAGTGTCAAGGTGGGATGCTGCTTCAGGCCATCCGCCAGGGAGCTGGCGCCACCTTGCAAAGACCCAGCGCGAGGCTGTGACAGTCTCAAGCCATCAGAGCATGCGACGGCATGGTCTACGCGTCTTCCCTTTGCCACCCGTTTTGAGCGGCCTGCAGCCATAGGGTTCAGCTCAAGCTTCAGCTGGCGCAGGGTGCTGTTGTGCTTCAGGCCCTTGGACAGAGCGGCTGTACCTGCGCGCTTAGACTCACTTGCGAGCACTCGGGACCATGGAACCAAACTCTCAGTTTGATCGTCTGCAAGCGCTTGAAACTCTCCAGCCCCGCCAGCCCCGCCTGGACCCTTGATGCCGTTGTTGCTGAAGTCAAGGAAGGTCAGCGAGTGGTTGCTATTCAACGCCTCCCCAAAGGCCTCCGCACCTCTCGCCAAACCGCATCGATTTTTACGCCGTTCGACATTCATGTCGAACGGCCCGTGTTGGAAATCACACCTATCCTTCTGGGCAGTTCATTTGCCCAGAAATGAACAATGTGTTTGCGACGTGAACAAGGAACTTCAAGGAACTGCAAGCTCTTCATTCCAGAAGTCGAATGAAACTTTGCCCTGTTAAACAAACCACGAGACTCCGCCACTGTCGCGCATGTCAGAACTCGTGCCTTTGTCGCCGATGCTGTTCAAGTCCAGCGCCAGCTCAATCAGAGTGGAGTTCTTCTTCAGCACGGCTGCCGCAATGAAGGAGAGGCCAAGCAATCAAATGTCAGGGTGCTTGAAAGACTGCAAAAATGTATGCACGCGGGCTCAAACACGCTTGAGTTGTTCGAAACCAGTGCAAGCACAGTCTTATTCTGAGCATGCAACAAGGGCATGCCATGCGGGAGACCCTACTATACCCTACTGCTCTTCTTTCAGCATTGTTTCGGGAGCCTTCTTTCTGTATGCCACGAGCAATGCCCGAGAACCGTGCCAGCGCCGCTGCCCGGCCCGGCCCCTTCTCTTCCCACGCCTGCTAATATCTGCGAGCCCTCCGGGCCGATGTTGTTGTTCCTGAGCGCGCAGAGCAACGACCGAACTGAAACAGCGCATTTCTGCGGAAAGTCTCTCAAATGAGCCAAGCCCAAGGTTAATTTCTTTGCAAGAGTGCTAAGCCTTCCAAACCCCCACAGAATTTCTGATGAACTCTCCTCCCCCCGTTCTGCCGCGGTGCCCCAGCATGAGCCGCCGCAGAGTGGTGTTCCGGTTGCGGCGCAGGGCATCGGCAAGGCAGATAATGCCCGGAGGGCCAAGCCTCAAGCTGTGAGCTCCAATTCGACAAAACCGACACGGTTGGCTCATGACCCCATAAATCTGAGGGCAAAAGCAGGGCCTAACATGGCCTGCCTTGCACGGAAGCCAGTGAAAGGCATGTCAAAAGCTGTTGCCGACAAAGGTCTACACCGCTGAATGGTTCAGCAAATCCCATGGGATCCTACCTTTCTGCCGAGATCAGAAAAAATTGACGCCAGTCTCCGAGGTGCCGGTTGTTGCTGAGGTCCAGGGCTTGAAGGCTCGGGTTGGCCCGCAAGGCCTCTGAGAGCGCCTCCACACCTCCCAGAGAGTGCAGAAGCCAGACCAAACCCCAAAACATGCGCCACTGCAAGGCCAGACAAAAAGACTATGGAAGGATTACAGGGCTACAGCAAGACTACGGGCAGCTATCAAGAAGACTGGAAGACTCCGGCAAAACTCTGTGCCAAAGTCTGCGCGAGTCAGTTCGGGTTCTGCGAGGCTAGGCTCGGTGGCCCGAAAGGTAAGCCATGGATGGCCTCGGCAAGCCGGGAAGGCTCCGGGAAGACTGCGAGATAAATGCAGGAATCAGGATTTCAGGGTTGTGAGAAGGAAATACAAAAAGAAGAAAAAAGGAAAAAATGCAGGAGGACCGGAAAACTGCGGTGAGACGATGGTAAGACTGCGGGAAGACTACGGAAGACTTTCAGAAGACTAGGAAGGCGACACAGGCACACTATGGGAAGCCCATGAGAAGAGAACAGGAAGACTACGGGAAGAAAAAAAGAAGACTGCGAAAGACTGGGAAGACTATACATAAGGAAGACTTTCAGAAAGACTATTTAAAAAGCCTAGAAACAGGCCGGACAGGAGCTGCTCATGGGACTCCTCCAGCTTTGAACTTTCACTATGTCATACTCTAGGGCTGCAGACCTCCACTCTTCTCGGCGCAGCCTTTTCACTGTCTTCCCATAGTAATTAGTCCTGTCGTCATATAAAGATTTCCCAGAATCGTTCAACCATGCGAACCTTTCCGGCACGAGGGTTGTTCATGGTCTTTCCGTTGTCTTGGAGTCTTCCTCTAGTCGTCTCAGAGTTCCTGTAGTCTGCCATAGTCTTCCAGTAGTAGTGTTCCCGCAGTCGTCCCGTAGTCTTCCCGCATTCTTCCTGCAGTCTTCCTACAATGTCGTGGCTTGCCGCCGCAGTCTTCTCACAGTTTGCCGCTCTGACAGATCAGACCATCTCTCTGGTCAGAAACATTTCTACTCGCCGCGTGTACAAGTGGCACGTCTACAGACGAATCCGGACTGCGGCAGCAACATGACAGCTTTACGGTCAGCGAACAACATGCAACGGCTGCAATCCAATACAATCAATTCAAAAAGTTCACCATCAAACTGGCAAAACGTGCAAGCAAATGGTCAATCTGTCATTTTGACTTCTTGAAGCAACAGGGCTCACCAAGAAAAGGCATCAAAACTCACCAAGCATCAGCCCCCCTTCTTCGCAACCCAAACACCCACCCGCATGTATGCTCGAAACATCATCAAATTACGACTGGACAAAATGTGTCGCATGAGTTCCAAAATACATCCGGCCCCAAAGCAAACTCCGGGCCTCGCTCCCCAATTTCATTACCACTGAGGTCCAGCTGCTGCAGCGCACAGCCTTTCAGCACGTCGGCGAGAGCCACGGCCCCGCGCTTGGCAATGAGATTCCTTGGCTGCGGCTTGGGGTCTGGGCAGCCGGGGCGGAGTACCCTACCCCGAGAGTGAAATGGACATGTTTTTTCTGATTCAGGTCTGACATCATTGCGACCAAAGCCAAGCCAAGAGCTCTGCGACCCAATTTTCACTAGGTCCGGGCGGCGCTCGAAGCGACAACTGCAGCAGCTGCTGGTTGTGCTTCACCGCCTGCACAAAATCGAATTCGTCTAAAAGTTATCCTAAAAGTCTAAATCAAGGCTATGTCGGCAGCAAAAGATCGGTGCCAGTCAAAGAACTCATGAGTAGCACTCTCGCCTCTGAAATGGGAAATCCTTCAATTCTAATTGTAAAACTTCTGGATGATCAGTGAATCTGTTGTCTCTCCTTCGATCGCTTGTGCAAGGAATGCTTCATCAGGAAACCTGTAGGCGAATTGCTAAGTCTGACCCTGGCCCTCCTGATGGCAAAACTGGCTTGTGACAAAAAGCAACAAGTGTCGACCGACTTCCCTCTTTCGACCGATCAACCTTGCTCGGTCCAGCCTCTGCTAAGATGGCTGCGCCCGTATCTGACAGATCTGTGCCCGTCATTTCCAGACCGCGGACTTGAGCTGGTGTCCTCGGTGGAAGCAGCAAGGGAGGCTGACATCAGATCTGTGCTAACCACCCCCAGGCGTGTGCACGTCTGCATGATTGAATTGTTTGAAGCTTCTCGTGTGTATGTAAAACATGTATGTGTGCGTAAAAAAGTATGAACAAGCTAGGGGAGAGGACACATGGAAAAAGGTACGGCAAGGTAGGGTGAGCTGAGCAAAGCAACCGGCGCCGAAAACACGTCCATTGCCCCAAATTTCCGCCAGTGCGGAACACACTGCTTTGGTAACTCGACAAGGTGCAAAAACTTACATTTGGGCCCTCGCAGAACCTCTCTTCGCCCAGCGGCTTCAGCAGGGACGCCAGCACCCGCAGCTCCTGCAAAAGGCATGGATTCAAGCATTCAAAACAAGTGGAAATAGTAAAATCAACTGGCTTTGGATGGACCTTCCCGCTTTGAAGTAGAAGCAGAAGCAGAAAAGGACTGTCGCAACAACCAGCTAAAGCGTCACCATGCAGTGTCCCATGCTGAAAGTCATTATCAACAGATCCATGGCTCATCTTGTGCAAGGCGGGGTCCCTCTGTCCCGCTCAGGCACAAAGCCCTGTATGAGGAGCTGGTCGTCCCCTGGCAAAAAGCTCCAGTAGCTGGGGAAGTGCTGCGACACGTGCCCCGGCACGTCCTGGACGCAAGCGCGGCCGCAAGAACCCGCCAAGAGGAAGCTTCGCACCTGGAGGCGCAAGATCTGGTCACAGCCTGCCAGGGCAAGTGCCTTGCACGCATGCAACAGAACCCTTCAAGCACGGCTCAAGCCTCCAAAATCGGATCCCTTTGCAAAAGTGTGCAAACATAGAGTTTTCTGCAATCACTGCCTTTTGGCAAAGCGGCTAATAAATCACACAAATCCTGGCCGCTGCAGAGTGTGTCCCTGTGGAAACCCATCCTGTCTTGCATCTATTCCATTGCACTCAATCGCCCTACGGCCTTCCACGGGGCAGCCCACAGGCATCCCCACTTGCTCAAAGATGATGATGTCAGGATCTGTCTCCGTCGCCAAATGGCAGGACACCACCTACGCCAAAAACCAGTCAGACACCACTACTTGTTAGCGGTCCAATTGCTGCTGGCCACGCTGCAGCGAGAATTGCTTTGCTTGCACATAATCCCAACTTCCCAACGCGCAAACATTGGCTCCTATGTAGTCCATCATAGGCAGGCACATCGCAATTCGCTTCTCAGTTTGCAAAGGGCATTTCCGAGCTTCCTCTCCCTTGCAATGACAAGCTGCCTCTAAGCAAGTCAGGGGCGGAAGCAAGACATCTTCTTCCAGTGGTGAGGCTGCGCAAAAGGAGATGTTGTAGGCCTGAGCAAGGCAATCGAAACTCTAGTGCAGCAACTCCTGCAGCCAGCGGTCTTAAAATACATGTACAATAAGCAGAAGCAAACAAGGGTGCGGTGGATGCTCTTTGCAGCGTCGTCGTCAGCGTGGCTGCTGTTGTCTTCTTTGCCATTGTCGTTGTCGTCGTTGTTGTTGTTGGTGGTGGCGGTGTTGGCGATGGTGGCAGCGGCAGTGGTGATTGTGTTCTGGTTTGATTTCCTGGGCATATTTTGCTTTAGGCGTTGTTGGTGTTGGAAGTGTTGTTAGTGCTGGTGCTGTCGCTGTTGTTCTTGCTGATGCTGCTGATGCTACTGATGCTACTGCTACTGCTGTTGCTGCTGCTGCTCATGTTGTCGCTGTTTCTGTTGCTGCTGCTGTTGCTGTTGCTTCTGCTGCTGCTGCTGCTGCTGCTGCTGCTGTTGCTCTATTATTATCGTTGTTATTGTTGTTGGTGTCGTTGTCCTTATCGTTGTCCTTGTTGTTGGCGACGTTGGTGGTGGTGTCGGTGTCATCCATATTCTTGTTCTGCTTCTTGTGACTTTTCTTCCTCTTCTTCTTCTTCCTCCTCCTGTTGTTGTTGTTGGTCTTGCTGTTGCTTGCTCTGGCTGACGCTGCTGTTGCTGTTGCTGTTGCTGTTGCTGTCGTCAGTGGCGGTGCTGATGTTGGTGTTATTGGCGGTGGTTGTGCTCTCGTTGTTGCCATTACCGTTGCTGTTGCCGTTACTGTTGCTGTTGTTGCGGTTGGCTCCAGCATCGCCTGGACGCACATTTGAGCCCGGCCACAGCACGCGCACTGGCTGCTGGTGGTGGTGCGTTGTCATGGTTGTCGTTGTTGGTTCTTGTTCCGGCACTTGTTCCTGGTATTGTTCTTGTTGCGGTTGCGGTTGTGCCTGTGATAGTGGTGGTGGTTGTGGCTGTGGCTGTGGTTGCTGTTGTGGTTGCGGTTGTTGTTGCTGTTGCTGCTGCTGCTGTTGTTGTTGTGGTTGTTGCTGTTGGTGATTGTTGGTTGTTGTAGTTATCGTTGTCGTCGTCGGTGTCGACGTTGTCGTTGTTGTTGCTGGTTGTTGTTTGTTGTTGTTTGTTGTTGTCGCTCTCGTACGCGTTGTCGTCGTCGGTGTCGCTGTTGTTGCTGTTTGTGGTTGTGGTTGCGGTTGTTGTTGCTGCTGCTGTTGTTATTGTTGTTGCGGCTGTATGCTGTTGGTTGTTGTTGGTTGTTGTCGTTATCGTTGTCGTTGTCGGTGTCGTCGTTATCTTTGTTGTTGCTGGTTTTTGTTGGTTGTTGTTGCTAGCGTTGTCGTTGTCGTCGTCGGTGTCGGCGCCGTCGTTGTCATGTTGTTGCTGGTTATTGTTTGCGGTCGCTCTCGTAGGCGTTCTCGTTGCCGGTGTCGTTGTTGTTGCTGGTTGTGGTTGTGGTTGTGGTTGTTGTTGTTGCTGCTGCTGTTGTTGTTGTCGCGGCTGTTGCTGTTGCTTGTTGTTGGTTGTTGTCGTTATCGTTGTCGTTGTCGGCGTCGGCGTTGTCGTTGTTGTTGCTCGTTATTCTTGGTTGTTGTCGCTAGCGTTCTCGTTGTCGTTGTCGGTGTCGGTGTCGTCGTTGTCTTGATTGTTGTTGGTTGTTGTTTGTTGTTGTCGCTATCGTTATCGTTGTCGTTGTCGGTCTCGGTGTCGTTGCGGTTGCCGTTGTGGTTGCGGTTGTTGTTGTTGTTGCTGCTGCTGCTGTTGTTGTTGAGGTTGTTGCTGTTAGCTGTTGTGGGTTGTTGTCGTTATCATTGTCGTTGTCGGTGTCGTCGTGGTCGTTGTTGTTGCTGGTTGTTGTTGGTTGTTGTCGCTATCGTTGTC